AGGTCCCTAAGGCCACTACAGAAGACTGGAATTTTAGCTTGCTTCTGTGCTTTGGAGAGAACTATCACATCTTTCTCGTCATTTGCATTCCTCTGTCAGAATTAGTAAACCAGGCTAGGACCAGGAAGGCACTGTCGCTAAAGGACCCTTAGTAAAAGTTTCTACTGGAGTCTTTTCCTGCTCTAAACCTTGTGGCCAAAATGTGTCTTATCTCAAAATGTGTTTGTGAAATCTATAGTGGGGTTCAGAGTGTATAAGAAATATTTATGGAGATGTCAAGCTTTGTGCAATACCGTTATTAGTTTATATATATTTTCCCGCAGAAATCATAACATTTTTATACAATTATCTCAGTCTTTCTTACAATTTCTGTTTTTTTTTTTTTTTTTTTTTTTTTTTTTTGTGAAGGCAATTTTATAACTATAATTGATGTAGTTAAATATCCAGTGGTTAGTTCTCATCCACATTGACTCTCTGTAGATTTTTTTTTTCCAAGATAAAGCCTTTCTCTGTCACCCAGGCTGGAGTGCAGTGGTGTGATCTCGGCTAATTTTTTGTATTTTTAGTAGAGATGGGGTTTCACCATACAGGCCAAACTGGTCTTGAACTCCTGACCTCAGGTGATCCGCCCGTCTTGGCTTCCCAAAGTGCTGGAGTTACAGGCATGAGCCACAGTGCCTGATCGACTGTCTGTAGATTTTTGAAAGTGGTAACAGGTACATAGGTAATTAAAGTACGGGGCTTATTTGGTGAATCTTCATCCTCATTACATCCTCTGGACAACTGCAAGCGGATACGGTACGGGACATTCCTTATTCCTTTGGCAAAGACAATTTTATTGAGCCTGGTATCAATGCACACATCTGGAGTTCCCATCTCCTTCATGGCAAAATTTCCGGATCTCTTTGAGTGTCTGAGGGACATACTTCTCGAAGCCCACTCCATACACGCGCTTGTGAATGTCGGTGTATTCTTGGGTCATCACATCATTGATGGCAGAATGGTCCATTTTCTTCTTGCCACTGTTCTTTGCAGGAGCCACTCTGCCAGGCCCAAGTTGGTAAAGCTTGTTACCATTTCTTTAAGCTTTTTTCCCCTCTTTTCTTTTTTCAGTCTGAACCATTCCAACGCCCTTTTCTTTTCTTCTTTCTCCTTCCTTCCTTCCTTCCTCCCTCCCTCCCTCCCT